ACTTTAAATCGATTTATTAAATTGTTCTTTAATTTCTCTCGGTAATATGTGTGTTTTAAAAAGTGGAAAAGTGGACTACTTACTCTTTCATATTTGATATGCGATTTTAAACTCAAAAAATATGCGCTTGAAAGGACGGACTTGAAAACTGATTTGCATGATTTTTATCATGGTCATCATTAGATGGCGCTGACGACGGATTTATTAAACTGGCATATCTCATTTATTTTTGCTATAACTTTCCGTGTTGATGGTATTCAAATGTAAGTGATGTCATATGGAAGGTAGTTGAATATTAATCTAAATAAGGTTTTTTTTTAAGATTTGGTTTATAAAGTATTGGATATTACATTGCGAGAGAGGTACCAGACGGAGTGGACCAATGGGTCGCATCTTCGAACTTGATTTACGTTTGGAGGAAATATAACAATGTGCCTATTTGTTATCCGATAGTTATCGGATTAACAAATTTTCAAAATTTTGATAATTTTGGGGGAAGGTACTAAAAGGAATTGGACTATAAGTCCCATCTTCCATCTTCTGTAATTATAAACTTTACCACACTGTGGTACAGGGTATTATGTCTTTGTGCATATGTATGTAGGCCACAATTTGTGCACCAAAGAATTAAAGGGTACACTAAATAATGAACTGATGATTGTGGATGAACTGGAGATTATATCTTCAACAGCGCTCGGTTCACATATAAACACAGATCATATATGTAAGTAGTCCACTTTCATGTCAATGGTCCTTCAAAAATGCGAGGTCTGTTAGGAAGCATCTCTTGAATATAGCCAAAGTGGTAAAGGGTATCATATAGTCGGCCCCGTCAGACTTAACTACTTTCCTTACTGGTTTTTGCTTCAAATCGGATAGTCCATTAGAATAATATTACAAAATTTTGAACATTTTGTGTGCGAGCCACCAGAAAAAGCTTGATTTAAGTTTGTAAGAAATATTAAGATGTAATGCAATTTTTTATGAAATCAGTTACTACTTTCGAGAGTTATTGAGCACCAGCCAGACAGATGGCAGTAACATTTAAAAAAAAACTTGCTCTATAAACACAAACTAGGTGTTAAGAATCGACAAATTTTATTTAGAAAATTTATTTAAAGTGATAATTTTAAAGCTAATTTTTCACAGTTCTCAGCCATCTCTGTAATGAATACATGTTAAATTTTGTTTCAATCTGGCAACTCCTTCATATTTTTGACAATGGAAAAATTAGAAATGCGTGCTTTCGTTGTAAAAAAATGCTTATCATGAAAGTAAAATACTTAATAGTGTTATAGAATTATGTCCAGCGTGAATAGAAAACTTTCTATGTGATTTCCTCGCACGAAATAAGATCCTTTAAGCTGTTCATAACCGTTCAAATTATCCTTATATCACAAATCGTTTAAAAATCACTTCATTTTTTATTAATGCCTTGATTTTCCGTAACGACTTGTCACTTTGGCGATCGCACCGTCATCTATTGAAATGGCGAAAATGAAAATTTAATGTTCCAGTTTTTGGCTCATGGTTTTTGAACTACTGACTCGATTTTGGCGTTATGATATGAAGCCTACCTATTTCGTAATATATTCGTCTTTTTGTTATACACTACACAAGTGTATAACAACATTACAAAAAGTTTGTAATGTTGCGAAATATTGGCCTAGACCCATATTTTAGTGTGCCGATCTTTATACCTAGACGAGTTTAGTCGATCTTGACATGTGAGTCCGTCCGTCTGCCCATTATAATTTGTAAACACGATACAGGCCACAGTTATGGACCAATCTTCACGAAATTTTGCATTTAGAATGGTTCTTGCCAAAAAAGATAAAAAACGAAAAAATTTTTATTCTGGGCGTATATATTTACTCCCGAAGGACATATACTCGAGAAGTTGATAGTATATCTAAGGGGAGTGGTTGAGCTTTAAATTTATATAAATTATATTGCTGTATGTACTCGGATGTGGGAGTTATACTTAAATATTTACGGGGATCTACGTATTCTGATATATTACCCCACTAGAGGGTGGAAATGTCGCACTGATCGATTTGGAATTTTACATGAAGTTCCGGTTTTGATCAAGGACGACGCCTATAATTTTCGGTGATGTTTTGATGATATTTATTTTTTTTCAGATTTTCTAGAGGCTCTAGAGGCCATCATTGCATGCATATTTCACATGGTGAAGGGAATCTAACCTAATACTTAGAACGACTGTTTAGATGTTGATCGGTCCGAGGATCAAATCAACCAAAACCTAAAGTGACCAAATTTTTATTATATGGCGTAAATATTCGACTTAGGACAACAAGATTTGGGAAATATGCCAGAAATTGGAGCTGTTGTCCTATTATCAACCAAGAGAGTGCAAATATTGCCCTTGCTCGGATCCGCAGAAACATAGACATTAGTGGTAGTTGTGTAGGGTATCATATGGTCGTCACTGTTCACCTATACTGCTCCGCTAACTGGTTTTTAAATTATAATTACACATAAGATAATAAAAATTGTCAATATTTTGCTGTACATATTTTTTTTAATTTTATGTGATTTTCGTTGACCTTTGACCTCGAGCCGAACAAAATGAAAATCTAAGGAAAAAATAGTTTATTTAATAGCATGCGTCCGATTTGAACCAACCTTTTCATATTCAATGGATCAAAATTTAAAATGTTTATAAATCTAATATTAAGCGAATGGAATGACCCGAATTGACCCAAGCTCTGCACATCGTCATATTTTTAACAACTCTAAATCAATAAGGGTGTATTTTTTAAGACGCAGATTTTTTGTCTCTTTGGATTTTTTACCAGAACCATACAAAAGCCGATGGGCGTGTATTATTTGATTTGATTTGGCTTGGATTTTATAAGATTTTTAAAATTGCTCTATGTTTGGATTTTTTGAATGGTTTTAACTTGACCATAAAAAAGTCTACAGGCGTGAAATTTTAACGAGTTTCAGTATCACCATTCAAATGCCTAAATGCGTGGATGTTTTTAAAGATTTTTAACAGGACTCTAAAAAGACCTAGAATGGAGTTTTAGCTGCAAACTTATAAAACCTAGACAAGTTGATTTTAATCGAGTTTTAGCATCATCCTTTAACCCTTTAAGTGTCAAAAATTGTTTGTCGGAATAAAAATCTAAAATTTGGTATTTTAGATCATATAAAGGCACAGAGTTCAGAAAAAAACAATTTTTATTTTAACCCCGGACAGTTTTTTCAGTCTTTCAGCAAAAACAAAAACATCAAGAAAGAGAGTAATTTTTAATGTCGAATATATTTTTTGTATATATTTTATTCATGTTTATTGTTTACTTATACGTTTTTTTTCTAAATACTTCTGTCTTACATAAGTAATAAGTTTGAAACTAAAATAACAAAGATATTGAAAATTGCTAGATAAGATATAAAAAAGAATAAATTGTATTGAATTGTGATGTAGGAACAAACATTCGATGCATGGTGGATGGGGAATTGGGAAGTGGATTTGGGTATAAGGATAAAAATGTAATTGGTTGTGAAAGCATCTGGACCAGTATGGCAAAAAATTAAATTTCTATAACAAACATTTAAATTTAAAACTGAATTTTGAGTATTTAGGCAATAAATCTCTTAGAAAAATATTATTGAAGATTAAGATTTGATCCAGGCCAGAGAACGATACATAATTGGTTAGAAGGCATCTTTGGTAGAAATTAATAGAAAATTGAAATGGGAAATTATTTTTGGGGATTGGGGATTTTATGAAAATATTTTTTTGCTGCTGGTCCAAATGGTGAGAATTGGAATTATGGAGGAGGGGAAAATTATGTGTTGGGGAATTTTATAATGCATGTGGGATAAATGTGTTAACAGTGCCCTAGGTGCAATTATTGCTTATACACAATTTGCAACATATACCGACTTATAAAAATTATGAAATGTTTTTGTAGAAAAATATAACAGAAAATAAAATTGAAAATATAACCCTGATTTGTTGATTTTGCTGATTGTTCAATTAAAGTTATTAATAAACAATTACAACTAAGACTATAACTATAATTAATATCACTTAAAAGTATTTTGCTTTAAAATTTTGTAAAAAAATGTTTGGCAATTAATTAAAAAAATAATAAAGCAAAGCTAATTCTTGAAGAATTGCTTTGGCTGCCTCATTCACTTGATGTGGAAAGGATTAATTCGAGAATTGTATTACAGTCAACATCGTTTATAACGACATCGTTTATGACAACATATCGGTTATGACGTCTGTATTTATAGTCTCGAGAAACTTTTTTCTCTTTATTTGATATCGTTTATAACGACATATCGCTTAAAGCGACCTTTTGGGCCGGTTTCTTGACCGTCGTTATAAGTGATTTCGACTGTATATTTACCCCAGAGTGGAATCAGCTTCCCGACATATTGGAGCTAATGGATCAGTCTCCTGGACCTTAAATACATCAATGATATTCTTTCTCTTACGTGGAAGTCATTTTGAGCACTATTTTTTACATCAAACATTTTTTTTTTAAATTTTGTATTGATTTCGCCTACCTACAACTAATACTACAAAAATATGAAAAAACACTTACTTAGGCTAGGTACAAAAGAAAAATACAGTGGAGCAATGGTATAACGAACAATTTTAGAAATATTCATAAATCGCTAAATATCGCTCTGTCTCTATAGCTCTTTAGAAGCATTTTTTTTCATTTTAATTATTTTTATTTTTGGTCGTCATAACCATTACCCACTGTATTATTAATTAATTAATTAATTAAAAAAATCAAAACGTTAACAAATGCCAATATTTTTCGCTTTAAAAAAATAAATTAAAAGCATTATAAAAAAAACAAAATAATGGATCGGGGGAAATACTTAAAATGCTAAGACCTCTTAGGTTTTACTAGACTAAATTTTTATATATGACTGTCTTCGGCGGGCGGGCGTACAAGCTAGCGTGCGTGCATATGAAAACAATCAAATGGACTTTTTCTCATAATTTACAATACTCTTTCACCCAATGAGGGAGAACGTTTTATTAGCAGTGTTCCCGCCTTTGTAAGGGCCGGATCTTTGTAAACTGAAGACAAATCTGTAATGCCTGCCGGTGCTGCAGATGTGGATAATTTTTTGTAAACATTTAGTAGGGATTTCTGGGCAACACCATGTGGTGATGCATCGGGCACCAGACGCCGGAGCAGACCACCAACACAGCCCCATGGGAAGGTCCTGGAAAAAATATAATAAAAAATTATATAGAATCGTAATTATTTGAGGGAGTTTGAGTTTTAACATACCATTTAAGGGACAATAGGAATTTGCAGTATCCTGGAATTATGGCAATTTTTTCATTTTTCTTTATGGCAGTAATGACACGATCGGCAACATCATTGGCATTCAAGGTTGGCACCCATCTACAAAAAGGAACAAAAAATGAGAAATTAATTTCATGAAGAAATAAATATTTATATATGATCGGTATAAAAACGGATTTTCTATGGGGTCATATATAGATGAGGTCATATATAGCTAGTAGAGATTCTCTATATGTAGAGAAAATCCTTTAATAATAGAGCATATACAGTTAGAGGGGGTTCCCTATAGCTGAATAAGATCATCTCAATACGAGAGTTATTTTATTCATAAAATATTCTCAATAAATAGAGGAGGTTTTTATTAACAGATGAATCCGCCTTTTAACAGAAACGTTCTTCTATTGGGAGATAGAGAAGGACCCTATAAGGTGTACACAATAATGAGGTGGAATAAAACGCCTGTATTGTAGATCACATCTATCCATAGTAGATTACATCTATCCGTAGGAGGGTCATCTATGTATTGTTAATAGAAAGTAAGGCCTAATATTTCTGAAAAGATTTGTTATTGATAACGTACAAAGGAGTTACCATATGGTTGGAAAAGGTTCACTAAACAAATAGAATAGGAATTCCTCTATACTTCAAGAATGCCCTCAATACATGGAAGAGGTCCTCTATACTAAGAAAAGGTTCTCTATGCATAGAGGAGGTCCTCTACACATAGACGAGGTCTTTTAAAGGTCCTCTCTGCATAGAGGAGGTCCTCTATACATAGAGGAGGTCCTCTATACATAGAGGAGGTCCTCTATACATAGAGGAGGTCCTCTATACATAGAGGAGGTCCTCTATACATAGAGGAGGTCCTCTATACATAGAGGATGTCCTCTATACATAGAGGATGTCCTCTATACATAGAGGATGTCCTCTATACATAGAGGATGTCCTCTATACATAGAGGATGTCCTCTATACATAGAGGATGTACTCTATACATAGAGGATGTCCTCTATACATAGAGGATGTCCTCTATACATAGAGGATGTCCTCTATACATAGAGGGTGTCGTCTATACATAGAGGGTGTCCTCTATACATAGAGGATGTCCTCTATACATAGAGGATGTCCTCCATACATATACTGTATACATAGACAAGGTCCTTATGCATAGAGCAGGTCCTCTATCCATAGGGGAGGTCCAATATACATTGAGGGGGTCCGCTATATATAGAGGTTGTCCACTATAAATAGAGGTGGTCTCCTGTACATAGAGGAGGTCCTCATATTATGGAGGTGGTCTCCTATACATAAAGGAGGTCATCTTTTTATAGACGATGTGCTTTATGTATCGATGAGGTCCTCTATAAAAATATAACATTGATTTTTAAGGTCTCGAGCAAATTTTTTGTATAGAAAAAAGTACTTCTCCAGGACATGAGAAAAAATCTCCTCTTAGTCCTGAGAACTGTTTTCCTAGAGAGAAAATCTTTTTTCGTGGTCTTGAGTTGCTTTTTCTGCAAAGAAATCTACATAGGCTACTGAGAATTTTTGTATAGAAATATCAGTATTCAGGCCCCTACGTAATTTTTTGTTCTATTAAAAAAGTACTGCTCAGGTTCTCAGAAAAAAACTCCTCGGGGTCCTGAAAAAAATGTTTATAGGGTCCTGAGGAATTTTTTTGTTTCGAAAGAACACTTCTCAGGGTCCTGAGGATTTGTCGTAGAAAGAATTATTCTCAGGGTCCTGAGCAATTTTGGGCTAAACAAAGAACACTCTTCAGGTTCCTGAGAAGTTTTTTTGTTATAAAAAAATTATCTTCATCGTCATAAGCTTCCTGAAGGAATACTCCTTAGTTTCCTCAGGATTTTTTCTAAAGAAAATAGTTTCCTCGAGGTCTGAGAAATCTTTTATAGAACAATCACTGCTCAGGAACCTAACTAATTCACTGCTCAGGACCCTAACTAATTTTTGTTCTATTAAAAATACTGCTCATGTTCTCAGAAATTTATTCTCTATAGAAAATACACTCCTCAGGGCCCTGAGGATTTTTTATACAAAAACACACCTCTGGTGCTGATTAAATTTGTTTCTATAGAAAAACACTCCTCAGCATCGTGAGAATTTTTTTCTATAGAAACAAAACACTTCTCAGTCTCCTAAGGAGTTTTTCTTTCAGAAAAAACACTCTTGAGAGACCTGGGGAACTTTTTTTTATAGAAAAACACTCCTCAGGGTCCTGAGGATTTTTTTCTACTGGAATAATAATAATCAGAGACCTGAGGATTTTTTTCTACAGAAAAAGCAAGCCTCAGGGACCTGGAGAACTTTTTTCTATAGACAAAATACTCCTTTTGGACCTGAGGCATTTGTTTTATATAGGAATAATACTCTTCAGGAATCTGACGATTTTTTTTTTAGAAAAATAATTCGCAGGCACCTAACGAATCCTCAAGGTTTTGAGGATTTTTTCTGTAGAAAAAAACATTTCTCAGTGTCTTGAGGATTTATATTATAAGGAAAGAAGTTTCAGGCTTCAGGTTCCTGAGAAATTTTTCTCTGTAGAAAAAAACATTCCTCAGGGACCTGACGATTTTTACCTCTTCAGGTGTCTAGGGGAACACAAAATAAAAAGACTTCTCACCTCAAAATAAGAAAAATCTTATCCGAGATTCAATAGAAGGAACCCTACTTCAGGATTTTGAACATTTTTTTTTATAAAAAACTCTCGTCAGGATCCAGAAGATTTTAAAATCGAATAAACTCCTCTTGGGGTCCAGAGGTATTTTTATTAGAAAAACACTCCTAGTGTCACAGAGACTATATCGATATAGATATCGTGTTAAATTAAATTCTCCCCAGTTAATGTCAATCTCCTCGGTGAATGTCATTAAACTTTATTCCAACAAAATCACCTAATCAATCTAAACAGGTTTTTAGAAACGTGTTCGAAATTATTGAAGTAAATTACGTTACAAATGTTTCAAATATTTAAATAAATAATTATATGCCACATGCTCTGATAAACGTCCAATGATTATTCCCATTTACTTTCCCTTTTCACGTGGCAATTGATTTATAAACCATTTAATTTTTATTATTATATAAAAATTAAATTTAATAATATTAAATTCAATTCCAAAACCAGAATTTAAATTATGTTCTTTATACGTTTCAAACTCACCGGGCATTAACATCGTCAAACATGCCAGTCTGTTGGATAAAGAATGGACAGACGCAGGTGGTTTGGATATTGGTATGACCAAGGACTTCCAGTTCTAGGCGTAAAGCTTCATCGAAACCAACCTATGTGGAAAGAATGAAAAATAAACAAACGAGAAAAACAAATCAGAATTGACCAATAAAAACCACATTTTTACGCAGACACTCACACACACACACAAAGTAGGCATGTGAGTATTGCAAAATTTTCTTTTCAAAAAAAAAATTCTCAATCATAGAAGTGCAGGAAAAAAAAACAAGATTTCAAATAACAACAACTTACCGCAGCAAATTTACTGGCACAATAATCGACCAATTTGGTTATACCAACATGACCAGCCAATGAAGCTATGGTTACAATATGGCCATTTTCGTTCTCAATCATTTTGGGTAGGAAAGCTTTGGTGGTCTGCAAGACAAAGAAACAGAAGAAGAAGAAAAAAAATATTAAATTTACTTTGCAAAAACCTGGTTAAAGGAGAGACACACAACTAAACACAGCAAGGTTAACGACAAGAACCAAAATGTTGAGGTTCGTTCATTCGTTCGTTGAAGGTAATGTTGCAACACAAGAATAATTTAGAGTGCGTTGCAGCAGTGTCTCTACCACAACTTGTTCTGTGTGTGAGTTTGTATAACTAACAAAAATTTACCAAACTTGCTGCGTTCGCACTCACACACACAATCTCTGATTTAAACATAAACTTACCCAAAAATGAGCCATAACATTTACATTGAACGAACGTTCAATTAAATGATCGGGTGTATTTAACAAATGCATACCGGACACAACGCCAGCGTTGTTGATCAGCAATGAAATCTACAAAGAAAAAAATAACAAAAAATTAATAGTGTTGAAATATTTATTTTGGGGGGTTTTTGTGCAACCAAGAATTTTTGGTAATCAGTATGGTCAAAAAAACATATTTCAAAATGTCTTACAAAATGGACATGCTAAGTATTGGTGGTGTTGCAGCAATTTGTTAAGAACAGTTACGACATTTAATGTATTGATTATAACTTATTGCCAGATATGGTATTTTTGGTAAATAAAACGAAAGACTTAAGACACAAGCGTTTCGGTGGCATTTGATAGGAAAATTGTGGCAGTTTTTGGCATTCTTAACAACCGGATATTAATTTAATAGTTTTTAAAGGTGTGATAATACGATTCCTTTTATAGCAAAGAATGTGGTTCTTGATATACATTTTTAATTGAAAATTGTTCTATAAATCAAAATCTGACAAAGAGATAAGAGGTATGACAAGACGAAAATGTATTAACAGTAATGGTTAACACAGTTGTGGAATTAACACTATCTGATGTCAACAAAGAATTTTTTGTCAATATAGTTGATATTATATTACAAATTTCTAAAATCCTATTCAATTGAAATATATAGTTTGTTTTGAGATTTATAGTGAAATTTGATGTATAATATTTAATTTTTAGACGAAAAATGAAGATTCATGTTACTTTTGTTGAAAAGAGTGAAATTTCTATGACAAAAATTGCTAAATTGTTTTGGAATTTTTTGTCCTAAACTGACATCCATATTATCGGTATATATATTAGTCATTTATATTAAAATTTGATGGAGAATATTTCTGTTCTTTACACCATCCTTCTGAAACGACTTCTAGTGGGAAAAATTGGTACAAACTCGGAATAAGATCGGCATTAGCCCTAAAGTGAGTTTACATATTTTTAAGATTTTTGACGTTTAGGCTGATTTTCGAGTTTTGATCTATTTTGGTGAACACTATTGTATGGTGAACACTATTGCAGAATATTCTGAACTGCTATAACACCGACTTAAGTGAGTTTTCAATAATTTCTGAAAAAGGGAACCGAAAAGAGCCGATTAAAGGTTAACATTAATGACAAAAATATTCCTCTTCTTGTTAAGAATTTCAAAAACAAGTAATCCGAATATTTTTAAAAATCTTGAAAAATATTGTCCCCCTTTTTAGGTTACCTCACGACGTAAACTTTCAAAACACCGATACACGTATTTTCTATTTTTGACGCTCTTTCCTAATCTTTTGCAATTTCCTGATAATTATACCCTCCACCACACTGTGGTGCAGGGTATTATGTCTTTGTGCATATGTTTGTAGCAGGCATAAGGAAACAAGAAAGATCCATGGTTCCTTTTGGAAATATGCATAGAATCACTTTCTGAGCCGATTTGTGCATGCCAGTCCGTCCGTTTGTTGACATTAAATTGTAAACAAAGTGCAGGTCGCATTTATGATCCGATTTGGATGAAATTTGGCACAGAGGTTTTTTTTGGGCCCAAGGACGAACCCTATTAAAATTCTAGAAAATCGGCTCAGATTATATATAGCTCCCAATATAGTTTTGTTCGATTTTATGTAAATGGTGCACTAAACCAAGGTTTGCCCGATTGCACAGCGTACTGAATTAGGTCCAGTTTGATGTCTGTGTATTTTTGTTGAAATCGGTCCCGATTCCATTTCAATGGTCTTCCAAAGATGCAATGTCTCTTCTACATCTCTCATCTCTTGTATGTACCCAAAGTGGTGAAGGGTATCATATAGTCAGCTCCGTCGCTTCCAATTTTCGATACAGTTACATCTTAAGAGTTCTAAAGCTTACTGACATCGAACAAAGTATGGGATTTGAGGTATATATTGACTCCCATATATATTTTCGTCCATATATATTGTGCCTAGAGTGATGTCTCCAAAGTTTCGTGAAAATCGGTCCAGATTTAGATATAACTCCCATATATATTTTCGTCCGATTTAATGTAAATGGTGCACCAAAGTCTCTATATATCTTTCAATTTGCACGAAATTTGACATAACTTACTGGATTGAGCCTAGAACGATGTCTGCCATCTTTCGGAAAATCGGCCCATGTTTAGATGTAGCTCCCATATATAGTTTCGTCCGATTTTATGAAAATAATGTAACAAAGTTCTAATATTGCATAGCGTACTGAATTTAGTCCAGAACGATGTGTGCCAAGTTTCGTGAAAATCGGTTGAGATTTAGATATAGCTCCTTTATATACTATCGATTGATTTTAAGTAATTGACGCACAAAGGAACCAATATATGGCTGATTGGAACAAAATGTACTGAAATTAGTATAACCTAACCTGTGGCAAGTTTCGTTGAAATCATATTTGGTTCATATTTGGATAAAGCTTCCATATATATTTTCACAAATTTTAGTTCATCCAATTTCATGTTACCTAACAAAACTACCACTGAGCGCTCAATGGAAAATTTGTGATGTTCGGCTTATAATTGTCTAGAAAACAAACAAAAACAAAGTTTTCGGTACATTTCATCCCCGAAATATGATCTGATCATCATCAAAGATTATAGGCGTCGTCCTTGACCCTAACCTGAAACTCATGCAATTTCGCCCTCTAGGGTGGTAATGGTAATACTAAAAAAATTAAGAATACATAGTCCTCGATGAAGTATAACTATATATGAGTATAACTCTATAACGGATACCAAGTTACTGGTCAAACATTCCTCTTGGACATACTATAAACTTTCCGGGCTATGTCCTTCAGGAGTAATTATATAGCCACACACAAAATTTTGCGTCCATTTGACTCGCTAAATATTGATCAATCTTCACCAAAACAGTCATGCGTATTTCATGGTCAAACATCTTTCTCTGTGTAAAATTTCGCGATGTTTGGGTCATAATTGTGGCCATGTCATATGTTTGGCTCATAATTGTGGCCAAATTAAACGTTGTTGGTCCATTTCAACCCCTAAATATTTCGTGATGATTGGTTTATAACTATCGCGTTTATAAATTATAATGGACAGACTAACGGACACATATGTGAAGATCAATTCAGCTAATCGAATTATGACTATCGGTATACCAAAAAGGTGGGTCTAGGATCAATGTTTCGCGGCGTTACAAACCCTTGGGACTACAAAAGGCTATAATACCCTTATAACATAGTAGTGTAGGATATAAAAATTGAGCCACCTCGACAGTAGATAGTGATTTTGTAGATCAGGAATGTAAATGGCGCACCAACGAACCAACGCTTGTACGATTGTTATCAATTTAGTTTTTTGCTTTGAATGGGATGACCAAAAAATCTACGTTTGCCCGTTTGACACGTCATTTTGCATATGAGCTCTTCTGCGATCACTTACACGACTTTCGGAGGCAAAATAAAACTTTAATGTTAAAAATTCAAAAACAATTACATGTTTTACATTCACCCTTGATACTTTTTATAGTACTTTAGGTGCACTATCAGTGGTAAAAAAGTGAGAGCCTTTGGTTTTTATCTTTTGAGATAAAAGCAACATAAGAGCGGTCACATATGCAACTTCAAAAATACATGACTTTAAACATCATTGCTAATAATGGGAAAACTCTGCAAATTGTGCCAATTTTTTGAATTTTGAAAGATTTTTATGATCAATTTCAAAACTTAAAAATTTGGGCTGTCATTTTTAGGAAGGAGTCATACGAACTAAATTTTAATTTTGCAGTTTTTATTCTACAGTTTCTCATTTAATTAATATGTAACCTAAGAACTAGATGAAAAAAAACAACAATTATAATAAAAATCGACTTTATCTTTTGCGGAAATTACCATATGCTACCGAATTAAGTCAAGTTTGATTAAATTGGTTCTGATTTTTGTTGCTATTTAGTTCATACATATTTTGGTTATCTTGGGTTCACTATAGCCTACATTTGGTAAAAACTGCTGAAACGGTACCACCAGAAGTTTTATGTTTTGCAGATTTTACTTTATTTATAACAAAATGTTCAAACCTACCAAATAAAATAACTTTTTGACTGGTTATTAAAACGTTGCAACATATTTTTATATTAATTAGATATCCAATACCCAGGACCAATTTCTATGCTCCGCTGTATTACAACAATTTGTAAACACAAGTATTATGAGATATTTATTTCAATAGTATTTCTCTTTTGTTAAGGAAACATGATTATAGATTTAGTATAAAGCTAAAAATATTTTTTTAAAATGTTGAATTTTCGGAATTTTTAGGTAGAATGCATAATTTGTAAGAAATCTGCATGTGGAGTAAACCAAAAACGTAACTATCACTTTCGTTGTATATTAATTCTGCATTTTTTCGTTTTCTTTTGTGTGAACAAATTTATAAATTTCAATTTGCCAAACCCATCATGCACATTTGCTTGCATAGTTTACAATATCAACAAACACTTAATTAAGGTCAAGGTCATAGTGTTGGTTAAATTAAACAAAAATATGCATAAAGTAAATAGTAATAATAATGCGAAAATATTTTCTAATTGTAATGGTATTCCTTATATTACCTCAAATCAGTTTTAGTTCAATATTGTACAATAGGAAATAAATTTCCACTTGAAATTATCTTCTAAAAATGCATAAAAAATTTAAATTCTGAAAGAATACTTTGACATTGGAGAGCTATAGAAACTTTATTAATTAATGCAGCTGGTGCCCTTCTTTGGTCAATAACAAAAGACTTAAGAAACAAACGTGTGGGTAGACCTCTTAGACTGCAATATTGAATTAATTTCCTTAACCGTTACTTTTTGAATTTTATAATCCAGATACGATTTATTATTGAATTTAATGATAACGGTTGATATTGAAATATATATATGGGCAATATTGCCAATTTTTTAATATTCCATTTTCAAAAAATCAGCTTTTTTGTTTTTGTGGCACATCAATGATTTTTGGTACACATATAGAGAAAAATGTTCTGACTCCGAAACCGTTCGCGATCAAATTTTTGGTTGATGCGCGCAAAAGTTATCGAGGTTTTAATTTTG